CTCCTCCAACCCCCACCAACCCCCACCCAATTCCCTTCTCCTAATCCCTCAATCGCCCTCTCCCCTGGCCCTCAGCTCCCCTCCTCCAACCCCCACCAACCCCCACCCAATTCCCTTCTCCTAATCCCTCAATCGCCCTCTCCCCTGGCCCTCAGCTCCCCTCCTCCAACCCCCACCAACCCCCACCCAATTCCCTTCTCCTAATCCCCCAATCGCCCTCTCCCCTGGCCCCCAGCTCCCTTCTCCTAACCCCAATCACTCCTGCCCCACTCCCCTGCCCCCTCCTCCAACCACCTCCCCAGCTCCCTTCTCCTAACCCCCAATCGCCCTCTCCCCTGGCCCCCAGCTCCCTTCTCCTAATCGCCCCCGCCCCGCTCCCTGCCCCCCAGCGCCCCGCCCGGAGCGGCTCCCCCGCCCCACTCACTGAGCCCGGACGCCAGCGCCTGCTCGTTGGCCCACATGGCCCACTCGATGCGCCCCATGGCTGCGCTGCTGCCGGCCGGGGACACACTGCGCCCCGCCGCCGGGAACTGGCCTGGCCCCGCACGGCTCGGCTTCTGCCCGCCCCGCTGCTGGCCACACCCCCGGGCAGCCGGACCCCCGCCCCCGCCTGGGGACAGGCGCCAGCCCAGCCACGGGCGGGGGCGATCCGCCCCCGGCCCTCGGTCCTCGGCCCCGGCCGGGCGGGGGGAGCCCGGCGAGTCGCTGCTTCGGAGGCTTTAAAACCCGCCTTCAAAGAGGGGAGCGGGCCCGGGGTGGCGCCAGCGGGGGGCACCCGCCCTCAGCGCGGGGAAGGGCAGGGCTCAGCCAGCCCCCGGCCACACCGGGGAAACTGAGGCACCGAAGTGAAGCGACTGCAGACTTTCAGCCAGCCACCTGCAGGGGTCTGGAGGGGATTTCCTTCCCCCGCCCCACCCCGGTTTTCGTTTTAATCCCCTTCCTCTGAAGCATCAGAGATTGCCGGGGCTGGAGACAGGACACGGGGTGGGCCGGGGCTGGAGACGGGACCGTAGAGAGGGTCGGGGCTGGAGACGGAGCGTGGGGAGGGCCAGGTCAGACTGGCAGGTGGTTTTCACCTTCCTCTGCAGCATGTGGGTGTGGGTCACTTGCCCGAATTATCTAGGTGTATCACACATCTTCCTGCCCCTGAGGGGGGGGGGGGGAGGCCATGGGCTCAGGCACTAGTGCACCTCACTCAGTCCCAGCTTGCCCCCCCCCACCCCCTACAGTACACTGGTCTCAGTTCAGTTGTTGCGTTTAGGGTGGGGGGGTTGGGGGGGGGTCAGTGGTCCCTTCCGGCATTAAACGCTGTGACCGTATGACCCAGCATCACTCGTGGAGGCAGCGCGAGGACCTGGAACGGGATCCAGCACTCGGGGCTTGCAGGGCCTCATCTAACCTTTAGGCCGACCTTCCTCGGGTAGGGCGCAACAGGGAAGCAGGTTGTTTGGAGGGCACATTCCTTGTTACTTGTGCTCTTTGCATTCAGCAGAAACCGGGTGCAGCATAGGGACGGTGATCCGTACCGCTTGGCAAAAGGCCCAGCATGCAGGGCTGTAGGAAGATGACCGCGCTCAGGCGATCTCACAGCATTTCAACAAGGAGGTTAAAGCTGGGGAAACCGAGGCACAGAGACCCGCCCACACTCACAAAGCATGGCAGTGGCAGAGCAGGGACTGCACTCAGGTTCTCTGCAGGCCCAGCCCTGCTCACCCAAAGCAGCAGGGGGAGAATCACTTCACTCAGGCCCTGACAGCTGAGATACAATTTGCGTGAAGGCCAGGAGCCCCAGGGGAGTGAGCAGAGGCTGTGAAATCATGGCGAGCAGAGGCAGCTCCTGCCCGGTTCCCCTTCTCCAGCCGGGTCGGGAACTAGAGGAAAGCGGCTGGGTGCCCAGACCCTCTCTGACGCCAGCAGAGCCCTGCTCCTGCTCTGCGGGTGAGGCACGGGGAAGGACCCTTGGGCCTGGCCTGAAATGCTTTCACTCCAGCCTCTGGCTACAGCACCCAGCCTGGGGCTTGCAAGCCACAGCTGACAGGGTCACGGCTGCCATCAGTTGGTGAGGAAATTGATCAATTTCCTCAGGCTTGTGGGTTCATAAGGCAGTTCCTCCTTGCCCCCCGGAGCCGGCTAAAGCCATCTCACCCCCATGCTCCCTTCGTCTTATCCCCCAACCCCTGATTTACGGCAAACGCTTCCTGTCTCCTCCCTTCTTGGATCACCCACTTTCCTCCCGGGCCAGCAAGATCTCCACCGCCCCAGCCTTCGAAATACCCATACAAAGGCAGCGGGCAGAGCTCTACATTCTACACACATTTCTGGGCCTGCCCCTTCAACTTTTACTCGGACCCGGGAAGTGATGCAACCCCCCTCACACATTACCCCACTGACAGCCCTAGCCCCCCTGAATGGGCAACACTTTCTCTAGCAACCCTCACCCCAGAGCTTCCACCATACCTCAGGATCAAATAGGTCACAAGCACAGCAGAGAAGAGCCACCAAGGTGTTGGAATGAGCTATGAGGAAAGACTTTTAAAAACAAACAAACAAACAAAAACCAACCCAGCAGCCTGTAGCCAATTCCTCATGACTCAGTGGGCTCTGATACCAGGAGCAGCTATGGGACATTAGGAAAAGATTCTGAACCATACAGCTGATAGAACGGTTGGATACGACGTGTCTTCCCTTTCAAGTGCTGTAGTTGCTGTAGACACTAGTGATCACTCACCCACCCACCGCTGAAATGCAGCTGCCTCTGGGGTGGAACACTGCAGCTGTTGAGCAGCACACCGCACCAGCATTCCACTAGGAGCATGTGGAGGGGTCGTTCTTAAGAGGGGAAGTGAAGAATAACTCCTACAAGTGGAACTGCATAAGGGAATGGGAGGTAGGCAGAAAGTAACCAGAATTTGCCCCCGACACCAGGGCTTTTATTCCAGACGTTTGATAAAGTACTTGTGGAATCACCATGGAAAGAAACAGTTCTACATGTGTGGTGGGACTGGACTGGTTAGTGCTGCTAATGTAATGCAGGAATTTAATCTACCTGCTTCATTTCCAGCCTCTTCCTGGACAACACCCTCTCCTCCATCCCTCTGGGTGTCTCCCGCTGGACCTTAACAGGTCGAAGGGAAGCAGGGCAGGAATGTAAAAAACTGAGCAGACACTTCTGGGTTCAGAAAGTGATATTCATGGGCATTTACACCGAAAAACCAACAACAAGGAAGCAGGGACACTTCAAAGTTGTTCCTATTGCTCCATTCTTAAAAAACCCAGCTTCTCAGCGCACAATGGGATGGGGTGATCTGTGCTGGAGAGCGGCACCAGCTGGCTAAGGGGATGGGTGAGCCCTTCATCTCTAGGTCAGTCCAGATCAGGCCCCACCAGAAAGGAGCCCAGGGCAGCTGGCGCCAGGAGCTGTTCCCATCTGGAAGCGGTTTGCTGTGGAGTCTCAGTCCTTTTCCTAGCAGACGAACAGGCCTCGTCAAACTGCCCTCCTTTGCTGGCAGAATTGGCCATGGAGATGGGACCCTCCTTTCCCGAGGGGCCCCGGCAGATGGGGGGAGCAGCACACTGGCTGGGCAGCGTGGGTCACTGGCACTGCCACTGGCCAGGTGGCATGTGTTCTGCGAGGGGGCTTTGGTCACCAGCGCTCTTCCCCAGCATTAAATCCCCCAGGACGGAGCAGCAGGCACAGCAGGACCTGAAAACCTTCTCCCAGACTGTACCTCACCGGCAATCCCCCAGCTTTGCTGGGATTGATTCCCCAAGGCCAAGCCCCGAATGCCTCTCCGCTCTCCTGAGAGCCAGCGACTGAAACGGCATCGTCACAATCCACGTTCCCCGCAGGCTGGAAGCGTCTTGGCTCAGCGTGTCTCCCTGAGGCTGAAGGGGGCCGGACAGCTGCTCCGCAGGGCGCTGCTCAGGCCCTGGGGCAGGGCAGCCCATCTGCTCCCAGCAGATGTAGGTTGGGATCATCCAGAGGCTGAGGCCCCGGCCCTGGCTATAAGAGGAACAAAGCCACACATTACAGAGGGGAGCTGGAGAGGGCTGCTGGGACCCCATGGGTGCTACGTGTGAGGGACCCAGACACAGGGCTTTACGTACACAGCAGAGGGTTTAGATAACACCAAACAGCTGACCGGGTGCCCTATCGATGGGGGAAGTTAGAAGAAAGCCCCCTTTGAGTACTGCACTGCCAGAGATGGGCAGGCCGCTGGTCTGTCTCCTGCCACTGCAGATCTGCGAACCTCCCGGTCTAATCTGGGATGACAAAGTCTGCACCAGCAGCCTGCTCCCCCTCCAATGCCTCCTGCCCTTAACTGGATGCTTGCCCCCAGGTCTGCACGCTGGTGGGTACATTGGATTTAACCCTGGGATGCCAGGGGACACCTTGCATCACGCGCGGCTTTCCTCTCACACCAGCACTGGCCAACCCCACGGCTGGAAGCCACATGACTCCTCCAGGCCCTGATTCCACGCGGCTGATGAGCTAGGGGACCGCTGGGCGTTTCGCTAGTTCAGAGAAAGAGGAAGCAGGTGCTGGCATGGGGCGTGGCCAGCTGCCGGGAAAGAACTCGGGGTTTGTCTTCAATAGCAATGTTAAAGCGTTGTCACGGCACCAGCGCTGGGAGAGAGAGAGCTGTAAAAAACCCATCCCCTCAAGGGGCGCAGCTCCCAGCGCTGGGGCACGGTCTACACTGGTGCTTTACAGCGCTAAAACTCGCAGCGCTCGGGTGGAGGAGGTGGTGTTTTTTCACACCCCTGAGCGAGAAAGTGGCAGTGTAGACAAGGCCTCGATGAGAGAGTCTATCTGCACAATGCTCAGACCCGCCCAAGGAATCTTGGGGCGCTCTCCCATGGCACAGGGCTTGTCCTTAAAGGCGCCCTTTGCAATGGGGATGGGGGAGGAGGACCTAAGCCCCCTTCCCCACCCCTAATTCAGACTCTGGGGTTCAGAGCATGGCCAGAGACCCAGAGGAGAGTCAAACAGACCAGCCCCCCTCGTTCCCCACTCCAGGCTGTGCAAACATGGTTTCTTTCTGCCACTGCAGACAGCCAAGCCTGGCGTCAGCCACGTTCGAGCTCCACAGCGTGGCTGGGCCCGGGTCTGCAACAGCACCCCCAACCGGCCCCAGGCCCAGCCCCGCGCCGTACCTTGGTTAGGAGGATGTACCGGATCGCCCCAGGAACAGGCTCCAGCACCACAGCGGAGAGCAGCTCCTTCGAGAGCGAGGCGGGCCTGGCCGGCAGCCCCTTCAGGAACCTGCGGGGGGCACAAAGGGGGTATCGGTGGGGGTACGCGGTGTACACCCCAAGAGAGGGGAGATGGGGGGGGTCAAGTGGGGGCTGGGAGTCGCTGCCCTCTCAGTCATCTCCCCCCTGCGCCGGGACGCCTCGGGCTGACCCCTCATCTGCTGCAGACTGGCTGTCTCACCAATGCCCACTCCAGGCCGAGACCAAACTCCTAGAGCTCCCGCCTTAGTCCGTCGCGGGCAGACCCCACTAGTGCTGCCTGACAGCCCCAAACCCTCCGGCTGCTGCAGGCCCTGGGCCCCGGGAACGCAGCGGCAGAGCTGAGAGCAGCAGCTAGAGACCCCGGATGGACCAGAATCAAGGGGGCAGGGCAGAGGGAACAGCCCTGCCTGCCAACTT